GATGACTGATGCAGTCAGCGAGGCATTAATTGATTCACAAGACCCAGGAAGACACACACGTATTCGTGTGTTGTTGGTTTTTTTGTCTATTATTGTGAAGAATATTCAACATGTTAGTATTGTTTCATGTAGCACAACTTTGAGTTCTCTTTTTGAGAAAAAGGACAAAACTCTCTAGAGACTTTTATAAGACCAAAACAGCTGTGAGACCAACAGTTACTACTGTGACCATTTTTATACTGATACTGATTAAGCTTACCTGCTTCTCTTAGAAATTTTACAGCATTTAACGCCCTCTGTCTTTTAGACTGGTGGCTGAACTGGAGTTGGAGTGAAGGGTTTGGCCGTCTCAGCCTTAAACCACAGAGCTTTACTAAAAATGATGGATGTCTGCATCATTTTTTTACACAGAAATGATGCACTTGATGTGGATTTAATATCTGGAACTCTGATCGTGTTTGTCAGATCCCAAATCTTTCTCTTTATGTCTTTTTCAGTCCCACTTTGTAACAGTTCTAGTCTGTTCTTAACACACAGTTTGTTTGACTTTGCTCTATTAGCTGTGAACACTGTGTAAACTGTGTAGGACAATGGAAACTGATGTTAGGTTTGGCACCACCTCGTGGAGTAAGAAAAGACTACATTTGTGTCAGTGCACCCACACTGCAGGGATGAAGCCTGCATGTGTCATCAGTTAAGCTTCAGAGCTCTGCACTCATTTTGGGGACAAAAATCAGGTATCCATAATTTATCATAAAGCATCAGTTCCAAATCCGGTCTGATGGTAGGTAAGCTGTACTTATGGTGAGGGTAAAGAAATAAACGCACATCTGTACAATGCCATCTGAGATGACGGAAACAAGACTCTTTCTTCTTCTGTGTGCATGTGTCTGCTGGTGTGGTAACAGCAGCCCGAGTTGTGTTCCCTGTAGCTGTTGCAGTCAGGTGGCAGCCCAAACCTCCATAAATAATAGGTGTTATTGAAGTGCTTTATCACTTTGATGTGTCCCCGTGAGACTTCATGGGTTGGAGCATCAGGTCACGTACGTGTGTTCTTGTACACAAAAGTTCTTTTCATCGCTGCTAATGCGATCGTCATTGAGAATCATCTTTTTTATGCTGTCTGAGCTTAAGAGATCAGTCTGTAAGGGTGCAGATTGTTTTTGGAGCAAGGGCAAAGATTAAAGAAAGAAAGAAGATGTGCATGTGACAGAAGTTACTTAGGCCAGTCTGCATTTGAATGAGCGTATTGTCTAATTGCTAATTAAACATCAGGATAGTCACGATCATTTACCGTAGATACAGTGCTTGAACAGCTAATGCTTTAACCTCCTAAGACCCAAACTCTTCCAGAGCATGCATTTTTAATTTCTCTTTGATATTTGGGCTGATTGGGCCCCGATGAATGTAAAAACAAAGAATTACCAGATTTTTTTTAACCTTATTTTTGTTTTTAAGAAAAATAAGAGCCACATATGAGGATATTCGTTTAAAATTTTGATAGAACAGAGGCAGTATAATGTTCTTGTAAGTGGATATCAGGCCCTTGTAGAGCAAAATTGAGTATTTTGGTCTAAATAACCCAAAATGTGATGTCCACATATGTGGACGCCAGGTCCTAGGAGGTTAAGCTAATGCTGCATCCCTAAACTCATGCTTACCTGTGAAGAAGTTAGCCTTTATGTAATTATAAATCTACAACACTGGATTCCAAAAGCAGGAGAAAAATGAAGACAGAGCTTTGATGTCCTGTTTTCATGCGACTCACTGGGGAGTATGCTGCACATTAGCAGCCGCTAAGCTTGGCTAACTTCTCTCCGCGGTCATGAGTGTAAAGTTACCGTCGAGCTAACCGAGTGTGACCTGGCCTGTTCGGGGAGCGGGCAGTGGTTTTCTGGTAATTGGGGCTCTGCTGAGTGGCCGAGTAACAACAGGAAGAGAAGTGACAGCTCCCACTGCTACCACTAAAGAGCAAGGGGGGAAACAGTTGGAGGCAGTGAGGTGGAGAGGAAGTCACTTTGGGTTTGGAGCTTATTGCTGCTGTAGAATAGCATTAGGCTCTGCAGTATTTCTACCCATCCCTCCATCGTGAGAATTCAGACGCAAAGGGTAGCAGTTCAGTTAATGGACTGTGAAAGACATATAATTACATCCGTACACATTTCTACCATTTCAGCCTGAACCGCAGCTACCTAACCAAAGGTAGCGTGTGGGGAAAACATGCCTACAGGTTCGACTAATTTCAAGCAGCGGCGCCTCCAGCTTGGCCTCACTAAACACAATTAGCAGATGGAAGACGTGCAGAGTCAGGCCTGGTGGCGGTGCCGCTGGCTGCTGCGCTACACTGCAGGGCTGCTTGTGAGCTTTATAGGGAAGCTGATAAAAAGATTTCAGGACTGTGAGGCTAAGTCAGCAAAGTCCAAATGTCCAAAGTCCAGAAGCAAGAACAGGCAAGTTAATTTTTTATTTATTGTCACAAAATAGTGAAGAATAAACCACTAAAAATAATAAACCAAATTTATTGGTTTATCATTTTTACATTCACAATTCTAATAGAGACAAAAACAGTCACATTGAGCAAGTAAGTACACTCCTACATTTATCTTTCAGTTAGTCTCAGGTTTTCCAGATTAGGTGTCAATGATTAGAACATATTTAGGGAGGAACCTTTCCGCAGTGTTGGGGAGTAACGGAATACATGTACCGCCGTTACGTATTTAAAATACAAAATATGAGTAACTGTATTCCGTTACAGTTACCGT